AAACGTAATAAATCAAGAAGAAATATCAGCAGGACAAACAATTAGATTTGGATTTCATTGAAATTGGTTTAAAACGTACCTTGGTTGTGCTGATATTAAGCCAGACTGAAAACACCCAAATTTGTTACTATATACTATGCACTAGATCTTCCAATTCATGTGGAACCAAGATCTCGAGGAAAAAGCAGGAATTTACAGCAGCAGCGAGGACTTGAGTTTGAATATAAATAAAAGAAATGAAAATGTAAATAGTAATAATAATAAAAAAACAGAAAATTTAAAGACAATTAGAAGATATAAAGAAATGGTATTATTTTCATTACCAAATTCGTAAGGAAAAAAAATAGAAAAAGTGAATTACACCGGTTTATCTCATACGTGTCTAGTAGCCTGACGTAGCAACTAAATGAAGTTCAAGTACAGAGTTATTTTCCAGTACCACCTGTAACCTTTCTTAAAGAATAGCTTATTTTACATTTCAGCAAAGAAAGAACATCAAACTAAATGACTTAAATCGACAAACAATAGCAAGTGTTAAATTGACACAAAATGGTAACAAACAGAAATTAGATATCTAAAATAAAGTTGCAAGAGAACTGGTTTCATAATAAACATGACAAGACTAACAGAACATCAACTATGCATCAACATTTCTGCTATAGCAAATTTGCAACTATTGGCAGAGCTGCTCAACAGCTGTCACAATCTGGGCAGGCTGAACGACAGTTACTTCCTCAAGTGTTCCAGCGTATGGTGTAGGCACATCCTGTGAAGATAAACACATAATTGGAGCATCCAAATAATCATTGAAATTCTCGGTAATGGCAGCCGTCAAGCTAGCACCAATACCACCAGTCCGCATGCACTCCTCCACAATAAGAACACGATGTGTCTTCTTAACTGAGTTCCCAATAGTGTAAAGATCAAATGGTTTCAAAGACCTAATATCAATTACTTCGGGATCGTATCCCTTGTTCACCAAAGTTTTAGCTGCCTGCATCACATGATATCTCATTCTTGAATAGGTTAGAATGGTGACATGTTCTCCAGGCCTCACCATCTCAGCTTCCTCAAGATTACAGATGTAATCCTCATCTGGGATTCTCTCCTTGAGGTTGTAAAGCAAAACATGCTCAAAAAGGATAACAGGATTCTCACTTCTGATTGCAGCCTTCATTAAGCCCTTGGCATTGTAAGGGGTTGAACATGCAACCATTTGGATTCCGGGGATTGATTGAAAGTATGATTCAAGACGTTGAGAGTGCTCAGCCCCTAGTTGGCGTCCAACACCACCAGGCCCACGAATGACAATCGGTATGGTAAACTGGCCACCAGATGTATAATGAAGCATACCACAGTTGTTGGAGATCTGATTAAAAGCAAGGAGGAGAAATCCCATGTTCATTCCCTCAACAACCGGTCTCAAACCAGTCATAGCAGCTCCAATTCCCATGCCAGTGAAGGAATTCTCAGCAATCGGGGTATCAAGAACCCTAAGGTCCCCAAATTTTTCAGCCAGTCCTTTGGTCACTTTGTATGAGCCTCCATAGTGACCCACATCTTCACCCATGACACAGACACGGGGATCCCTATCCATTTCTTCTTCTAAGCCCTCTTGAAGAGCTTCAAAAAGTAAAAGCTCATGCCTGGAATACAATATATATATCTAGTTAAATACTGATAATAGATACTGACATTATGTTATTAACATTTGTCCATAAAAAAAGTAAACGGCTTGATTATGATAACAAGTATGACCGTAAAAATTCGACCATGCAATATAAATCCATAGCAACACAAAAAAACAGAGACAACATTTATACACACATAAAAACCTATATGCATACATGTATAGAAGCGTGCATGAATACACCCAGGACTCAAGTGGCACCCTTTTCATTTAATAACTGACATCAACGTTCCACGACATCGGGCTGACAGATAGAGATGACTAGATCGTTGCCCTAACAGTTGCATGAATGGTATCAAATGCCTGGACCTCAAAACGTATCATAAGGTTAGCACTTTGTTATACAGGCATCTCAAACAGAAAATTATCTACACACACTAGAGGCACAGTGCACCCTAGAAAGTATGTATCAATGATGATTCTCTTATATTTAAAAAGTCATACACTGGAAAATTGTTATCAAACAAACAAAACAAATATATATTTATTATGGCTACTCGAACATTTTCCAGCATAGGATAAATCTGAATAGAAAGCAAAAATACGTTAAATTCCAAAATAAGACTACAAGGACAAAAAAAAAAGTAAAGAATCCAATGCTCTGTTACAGGAATGTCATTGAGTGGAAAATTTGAAGGCATTTTCCAATATTGCTAATTAATGTAGTACTAAATCAACATCTTTCATATTTACACGAGATACGGAAGATACTTGGTTTTTTACTTTCGTTACGTATAATTCGTATTTAACAAATATTGAGCTATTGAATAAATTGTAAAACTAATTCGTAAGTTAAATCAGAATCAGAAATAGAATCATACCCTGGTTTCGAAGACGAAGAAGAAGCGGCGCTATCAGCCTTAGTCTAGTTAAAATTAAAATTACATTAGCAACACAAAATAAACAAATAATTGATTGAACTTTAAGATTCTAAGAGAGAGAGAGAGAGAGAGAGAGAGAATCATTACTGCAACTGCATTGGAAATCAATTGTTGAGCCCTTCGACCCTTAGGGTTCAGATTCAGGATTCCATCAGATCTGACCACTGCAAAGCTCGCTCCTCTCCTCACTGCACAAAATCAGATTGAGGAAAAACACGAAGTTAAAAAATGAAGTAAAAATAAAAGAAAATCCAATGAATAGCTTACCGGAGAAGGATGTAAGAGGAGAGAAAACGGAGTTATTGGAATCGAAAGAATTGGACGGTGAGGATGATAAAGTTGCGGCAGCTCCAACTCCTTGGAAGATCGCAGCCATTGGTTTTGCACCCGCGAAAAAATAAAAAAGAAATGCTATTTCAAAGAAATGGAACTGTAAATGAATTATCAAGAGGAAGACTGAAATATATACTTGAAAAATGAAAAGAAAATGGGCGAAGAATTTGAGGCTCATTTAAAAAAAAAAAAATTCTTGTTAACGTGGAGGGCGATTGGTTTGAAGTGCCAAAAGCGATAGAAAAACGCATGTTAAACGCCAGCGTTTGGTGCCGCAAATGTTTTTATGCCACGTGTGCATGAAAGAAAGATGAGGAGGCTTTTTTTATTTGGGTGGGTTACCCCGGGGGGTGGGGGGGGGGGGTTACAAGAAATATGGGGAGGTTTTATGGATGGAAAATTGGGTGTAAGATAGTGGAGGAGCGGAAGTTGTATATGATCATTTTAATCACCATACCTTTTCTTATTTAGAAAAATAAATTATTTGTTTGATAAAATCATTTTTTCCTAACAAAGAAAGACTGATAATTTTTTTAAAAAAACTACTCGTTTCTAATTTATTGATCAAGTAAATTAGATTAGATGTTTCAGAGGTGATGTTTTTTCTTTCAATTTAATTTAATTTATTCAAAAACATTAATATTTAAATATATGACTTTATTTAAGAGATTAGTACATCTTCCTATTAGATCAACTAATTTTTGATTCAGAATGATTACTTTTCCATCTATTTAAATATTTTTTTTCTAATATTTCATTTACAAATGCTCCACATAAATATCTATTTTCATTAAGGTGAGGAGGAAAAGGATGTAATTCACGCGGAACATATATTTTGTGATTAAATTAAAAGATTGTTAATATCTTACAAAAAAATATGACCCATTACATATATTTCATTTTATTTTATTTTAAAATATACAATTTTTTAATCACGTGATGTCCTAAAATAATGAATTACGTGAGATTTGGAATCTATAAAACACACTTTTAATTATTTTTTTAATAAGATTAGGAAAGTTACATACAAATTATTATCGGAATGTCACATTTTCACTAATATTTATCAAAATATCAAGCTTTCAGATGAAGTACATTCTAAAAGACATACCTTAGGTATATGTGGCAAAGACGCATTCTGCATTAACGTTTTATGTTGATCTAACAACACATGTGGCCTTTATCCCCATTTATACCATCTCCAATTTTAGGGTTAAGTTAATAATTTAGAGTTTAAATTTTAAAGGATTGTTAAAGTTTTTAAGATTTAGGGTTTATATATATGATATGATACACAAACTAAGAATAATTACTTACTTCAATCTTATTGATATTGGTTCAACCCCACATAATGCACATTTCATGTGTGCTACCAAGTCAACATAAAGCGCGTTCTAATAACACACTTTGACATGTCTTGTAGAAAATGTTTTATTTAAAGGATGACATTTCGGTAAATATTAATGAAAGAATGACAATTCGATAATTAATAATTTTTAGGGTGATTTTTGGATAAAATTACCATAAGATTATGAACACTTAATAGTAAGTTAATATAAATAAAATAAAATATTTATTTGACATAAAATATTAGATAAAAATATATTTTATATTTCCCTCGATTTTCTTTTTTAATTTTAATAATTTTGATGAATACAATAATAATTTAATTCATTATTATTTATAAATTATGTTAATTTAATATATAATTTATTTATTTTATAAATATTAAAAAATTAAATTTATTGAAATATTTAGAATTATGATTAATTTAATATAATATGATAATTTCACAGATTTAATTTATTATTACATTATTTAAAATTATATTAATTTTAATTAAAATTATATACTTATTGTTCTTAACTATTCCGTTTCCAAAATTGACATGAAGCTCCTTTATATTGGGATCAGTTTGTTTAATTTCAAAATTAGGATAGACTTAATATGTCATTTTACCAAAATATTACGATAGCTCTTCTGCATATGGTAATGCGAAACAGTGGAAAAACACAAGAAGGTCAACTCAGGAGTCACATGTAACAAGTGCTGGTCAACGGGGAAATGGAAGTTTTCTATCTATTATGCAGTTATGCTCAATCCTATCCACATTTTTGATTTTTCACTTCCCTCGCTCTCTCTGTCCTCCTTCCCTTCCGCTTCCACTTCACGCGCCACCGTCCTCATCCTCCACTCTCCACCACCCAAGTTGAAGCCGTTTCTCTCTACGAAGGTACTGTATGGCACGAGCGTCGCAACCCCATTAGCCATTCTTTCCGGTACTCGTACGCTACGCTCTTTTCAACCTCGATCACGCTCCTAACACTCCTCCCGACCACCTCTCCGCCGACGAGGCTCGTAGGTTTTCCAAAACTGATGGCCCTGTGTAAGTTCCTGAATTTTCTTATCCCCTCTTTTGTCAATACTTTTTTTTAGTTCATCTCAAATATTTGGTATTTTGATGAAATTACGGTGACAGTTTTCTGTTAACAATTCCTCCAAGCGTGGGGTACGAACAGAATCCATTGAGCATATATTATTGCTATGGTATGGAGGGAAACACTAAGCTTCTGAAGAAAGTGCATTGCTGAGGTTTGTAGTTCTTTGTTGAATTTGCTCCAAATGGAAACCAAGCTTATAAATAGTAGCTACTGTTGTTTTGCTATAGAACTCATTCAATGTCGAATTCTAATGCTTTATTTGTTGACATCGCTGTTGATTTATTGTCTTAGGTGACTAATACCCCCTGGGTGAAAGAGTATTATTTGTATTCGACCCAGATTCTGATTTAGTGGCAAAACCATTGCATGTCAGTCCTTTCATGGTACGCTCTCTGTGAATTCTTCATTCCTGTACATTTGTTGTTCTAGTTTTATCCGTTTCATATTTTCATGAGTTTTTAGTGTTATATATTTATATATCCACATTTCGTTAAGAATTCAGGGTTTTCTAAGGTTTACATCTCATAATGATTTCAGTTGTTTTCATTATTGGATTCATAAATAAGTGATTCCAAATTCTTCTATAAATTTTGCGTCAGCATGAATATGGCGATTCATTGGTGTAGATGAATTAATTATATGTTCTAAACATTCATTCCGGACATTGATTCTATCATGCAACATTTGAGGAATGCTTGTTTCATCCTTTGTTTTATAATGAATTGTGTTTTCTCTAACCATGTAAGCATCTTGGGGAAAATGTGCAGCATATGCTCGGGAATTGGAGCCTTAGATCAAATGCTCCTGATCAAAATTTACCAGTTACAATATCTGTCCAACACCCTGAGCTTGGTGATTATTTTCTGGCCACCTTGAAAGCGAAAAGAATCTCTCCGGAATCAGTGCATGATCATGCACTGTTTTTCTGGTTGATGCCTCATAAGGTTGCCCTGTGGATATACGGCATGTAAGTCGAACTAAAAAGTGTTCAACTTTGGTATGGGTTGGACTCTTGAGCTAACTATGAACTCCATCAGTTCTCTACTGCTTTGGCCTTCGTGTGATTATGTCATAGAAAAGCATTTTTCAGTCTGAAAATAGTTTTATATTCACTTCTATTTTTCTTTGTTTCTTATATCAACGTTAAGACGAATCAATACTCTAAAATCTATCTAGCGAATTTTACAGGGTAGTTGGGTTTCTTTTTCTCTCATTTTCATTTTTATTTTTAAATAAAAATATCATTGAATATTGAATTATCATGTGAGATTGCCTGCTTTGGACCCGAAACTCTGGTTTTTATAATGTTGATAGCAAATCTTGCTATCCTTTCAATAGAATATATTGAAATAAGGAATTAGAATACCAGTTTGCCTGCTTGTGGCCTGTAACCTTGACGTTAGCTGTATAATATGAACTAGTACAACAAGCTTTGCAGATGGCAGAGTGAGTAAGAGGAATATAGGAAGTTCAGTAGAATTCTTGGGTATTGCTTGGGTAATTTAACAAAAAGAGCAGACATTTTTTTAATGAAAAAAAGGTATAGAGAAAGGTACATTTTTCAAGTTTGAAAAAGAACATTACTCAGCTAGTTTCAAGCATATTCAATTGTTTATTTAAACTCTAATTAATGATGCTTCTTGATCAACTAAGCTATTCAAGTTAGATTATATGGACTTACCTCAAGGCCTATTGCCTGCATTTTAACTTTGCTGCACTTTTATGGTCCGCATTTATGATCTGGGTGCTGATTTGATATATTAGCATTAATTTAAAGTTCAACAGTGTAAGCTATGTAAATTGGCATCTCTAGTGGGAACTACTATGCATATAGGTGCCTGTAATATAAGCTTCACTTTCAATGTTTTTCACCATTCACCATTACAAGCACGGGAGCGCTTAGAAATTCAAGATTAGTTTATTAGTTTTCAGCTGGACAGTGTTTTATTTGGATATACCCCAGAGGTTGAGTGACCATTGGTTTTACTGTTGCAGTTAGGAATGTCTGGCCTATCAACTCACTCAACCTGACAGAGCTTGGGCTGGAATGCATTTGCTGGATTCTTCAAGATTTAATCATTGTGTTCATAATTCTCAATTACTATGTTTTTTTTTCAGGCTCTATAGCTATTGTCTAAACGATTTTTTCTTGAAAAATAAAAAGGTGAGATTTTAAAATAACCACATTGATTTTTAATTTACCTATTTCAATTGATTTTTAATTTAAAAACAAATACGGTTTAAAAGACCTCTCGTTTCGAAAAATTTTGGATTTCATTTACGATCGAAAAAATACGGTTCAAAGAGTCGTCACCAATATTTGATTAGGGAGTGATTGGACATCCAAAAATATTTTTTTATTTTAAATAAAAATTAATTTTAATTAAAACAACAAATTAAGGTATGCGTTACCAAAAAATGAGTTCGGGAGTCGGTTACGTATAGGGAAGGATTAGCACCCCTACAACGTCCTAAATCGGTACCTAGTCGATTAATTAACGTCTTTGCAATGAACTTTACAAATTCAAACTTAATTTGACTTTTGATCCCATAAAATAAAGATGTAAATTTAAAAACATTCAAAAGCACTCAAATAAATTAAATTAAAATTACCGAGTCATTTTTAAAAGATAAAGAATGTTCAATTATTTACAAATATCGAGACCAGATCTTAAAAGCTATAACAACATTTTCTCGATAAATTTAAATAGCCGAACATTTTTTTTTCTTCCATTCCCAAATTTTAAAGTGGTGGATCAATTTTTAGGCGTCACTAATGAGATACACTTTTATTTTAAAATCATTAAAAGCGGACCTCAAATGCGTTATGACAATCCACTTAAAACAATTTTAAATTAAAAGTGTATTACCCTTAATCCAATTATGTAATATGTCGAGTTATGCAAATGAGGTTACCATGCGAATCGTGCAAAAAAAGATGTCATGCCAAAATTAATTAAACAAAATTAAAAATATCATACAACGTGACATACAAAAAATTATACATATATTTTTGATTAAAAAATATAAACCATGCATATTAACATATATTGTACAAATGTGACTTAAATATAAAAACAAAAACATGACATGCTAAACTATAAATTTTAAAAAGTATGTATATACATGTGAAAGTAATGACTAAATTTAAATAAACGCAAAATTAGGCATACAAATCAAAAATTAAAATAAAGACTTAAATAAAAAAAATGCATAAATAAGGGACCTATACCTAAATTACCTAACAATATTATAACTACCACATAAATTTGGGAGAACATCAAAATCAGGACAAACAACAAGAAAGTAAATTCAAAAGTAGCCCTGCAGTGACTAAAGTGTAAGTACATGATGAACTTTCAGGGACCTTAAACAAATTAACCCTAAACATTTAATATAAAAACTAAATAGACTAAACCTAACCCAAATCTCACGCACATAGCCTCACTCAGATTCGCTCTCCACTCTCTATCTCTCTCACCCACACAACCTGAATCTTCGAATGGCATTGAACTAAAGGGAAAGCAAAATCGTCCCTTAAACACAACCAACTCAAAGCTTCCCCATCTCTCGATCGTTCCTAAAAGAAACCCGATTTAGACTCCAATAAACGATGAAAGCCTTTTTGGAGCCATAAGGTAAGGTTTTTTATTTTTTATTTACTTGGCTTTTCAATAATGGGTATTCGGTTTTTGGTTGCCAATGGTTCAAAAGGATATTTTTTTTGTTTTCTCGGTATCTGGTTCAAAAATCCCTAAAACATGGTTTTGTTTTTTCGTTTCAGGTCTTTCTTATTGGTTCTTCAGTGGCTTAGGAAAGAAAGAAAAATGGTTTCATTCGATCTCACAAAACAGATTTGAGAAGGCCCAAACAACCCTAAAGCTCTCTAAAGGTTCAACATTTCTACTATCGACGACGAACTCTAGATGACTAAGGTAATATCTCTAAAACCTACACTCTTTCGCCTCTCATTTCATAATTTATTTATAAACAACATATTAATATAAAGAAAGAAATCAATACTTAAAATAACAATAAAATATGAATAAAAAAGAAACGAGGGGAAAAAACCTCTTGTATTGCTTCTGTTGTTTTTGAATTGTAGAATTACATTATTGTTTCTTGTCATATCCTTTTGTTACACCGTTTGATTTTGTTGCTCTGCTGCGTAAAAAATATTGAAGAACCAACTCTTTTGTGCTTTTCTTGTATTTTCCCGAAAAATGGTCTCTCCTCTTCGTTAATAGTTTCCAATCGTTTTTTTTTCGTCTCTCCCTTTTCTCTGTGTAATTTTGTGATGGTTGATAATCTAATCCTTTTTTCTCTGGTGGTTAATCTTTAAAATCGACCCTCACCCCATTTAAAGTTTTTTTTAAACTCCCGATAACCATTTTTTTCAGTTTTCCAGGACTTAACGGACTGGAGGCTTGGATGATAACACTATTGGGTCATTGGGCTTGAACTGGGCCTTCAACGGGTTAGGTTCTTCTTTAGGCCTGCCATTGCTTCGAGCCTGTTCCGACTTAGCCCCAGACAAATCGAGTATCTACAGTTGACCCTCTTTGCTCATTATCATGTAACGAGAATAGAGCAAAGATCAAAAGATGATCGAATTTGTCCGGTCATGAGAACATCAAAAGATTAAACCACTCACTGTTACGTCGGGATAAATGAGACTTGAAAAATCTTCAAATGACGAGTCCGCTCCCTATTTCTTCAGGGAGTATAAGACTCACACAATCTTCAGCAAACGGGTCTGCTCCCTATTCATTCAGGGAGTATAAGACTCAGACAATCTTCAACAAACAGGTCCACTCCCTATTCGTTCAGAGAATATATGACTCGATCAATCTTCATAAAACATGTCCGTTCTTTATTCCTTCAGAGAGTATAGAACTCGAACAATCTTCAACAAACGGGTCTGCTGCCTATTCCTTCAGAGAGTATAGGACTTGATCTTCAACAAATGTGTCCGCTCCCTATTCCTTCAGAGAGTATAAGACTCGATCTTCAACAAACGTGTCCGCTCCCTATTCCTTCAAAGAGTATAGGACTCTATCTTCAACAGAAGTGAGTTTGCTTCACTACTCCTCCATGAAGGCTTATAGATGATTTGTTTCACTACTCTTCCATGAAGGCTTAAGATTGAATTGCTTCACTGCTCTTTCGTGAAGGCTTAAGATTTAATTGCTTCACTGCTCTTTCGTGAAGGCTTGAGATTGAATTGCTTCACTGCTCTTTCGTGAAGGCTTAAGATTGAATTATTTCAAAGGTCAAACTTTGGCTCAGTTATTGTCTAAACATCATTCTTTTCAAGATTTCAAAACTAGTTATCCTCATCTTGATGCTTTCATATCTTCAATATTCAACTATCATTGGGAAACCTGTAGATATTTAAGCCATCATGCAATTATGAATGACATGATCCTATTCATGTCTAAAATGTATGTAGTTATGCAATTTAATGTGTTTTCTTCTTCTTCGAAGGATCTCTATCTCATTTTGATCTCAATGGAACTTGGTTTCGTCTTGGGCACAGAACATTTGACCAGTTCACCCCAGGTAACAATCTCAATTCCATATCTCTCGGCTTAACAGGACCTTGACTCATTTCTTTCTTGAAACCCGCCATTACCCATAACCAACTTCTTGATTAACTACAATCTCTTTGGGTCATCTTTTAATAGCTGAGATTTTCTATGAATTTTGAGGTTTTAGTTTCTCATAACCATACAAGCTTACATGTTAAAACCATCGTCAACTTCAGAATACATGTATTTTCCTAAAACCTTTTGCACAATAATACAAAATGATCTCATGTACTTCAAGTTAAGCTATATGTTTTAGCCTTTCAAAATAATATGCTCGCAAAAAAAGAAATTAACAAGAAAAAATATCTCTTTATTTATATAAATACAGAGAATTTTTAGGTAACCACATGGAAAACTTTTAATTGGAAGCAATAAAAGAACAAAAGAGTAGGCATCTTCAAATATCAATAATGCAAATGCTTTTGAACTGGCACGTCGTTAGAATGATTCGAGTGTAGCTTATG